TAATAAAAATAATAGTTCAAGTATCATTGATTGGTAGAGAAAGACAGAATAATTTATAAATGCAACCAATAATACACATTATGACTTACTGCCTATTGTGTAATAAAAATAACAGTTCAAGTATCATTGATTGGTAGAGAAAGACAGATTAAATTATAAAATGTAACCAATAATACACATTATGACTTACTCCCTATTGTGTAATAAAAATAATAGTTCAAGTATCATTGATTGGTAGAGAAAGACAGAATAATTTATAAATGCAACCAATAATACACATTTTGACTTACTAGCTATTGTGTAATAAAAATAATAGTTCAAGTATCGTTGATTGGTAGAGAAAGACAGAATAATTTATAAATGCAACCAATAATACACATTATGACTTACCTCCTGTTGGGTAATAAAAATAATAGTTTAAGTATCATTGATTGGTAGAGAAAGACAGATTAAATTATAAAATGTAACCAATAATACACATTATGACTTACTCCCTATTGTGTAATAAAAATAATAGTTCAAGTATCATTGATTGGTAGAGAAAGACAGAATAATTTATAAATGCAACCAATAATACACATTTTGACTTACTAGCTATTGTGTAATAAAAATAATAGTTCAAGTATCGTTGATTGGTAGAGAAAGACAGAATAATTTATAAATGCAACCAATAATACACATTATGACTTACCTCCTGTTGGGTAATAAAAATAATAGTTTAAGTATCATTGATTTGTAGAGAAAGACAGAATAATTTATAAAATGTAACCAATAATACACATTATGACTTACTGTCTATTGTGTAATAAAAATAATAGTTCAAGTATTGTTGATTGGTAGAGAAAGACAGAATAATTTATAAATGCGACCAATAATACACATTTTGACTTACTGTCTATTGTGTAATAAAAATAATAGTTCAAGTATCGTTGATTGGTAGAGAAAGACAGAATAATTTATAAATGCAACCAATAATACACATTATGACTTACTGGCTATTGTGTAATAAAAATAACAGTTCAAGTATCATTGATTGGTAGAGAAAGACAGAATAATTTATAAATGCAACCAATAATACACATTATGACTTACTCCCTATTGTGTAATAAAAATAATAGTTCAAGTATCATTGATTGGTAGAGAAAGACAGAATAATTTATAAATGCAACCAATAATACACATTATGACTTACTGGCTATTGTGTAATAAAAATAACAGTTCAAGTATCATTGATTGGTAGAGAAAGACAGATTAAATTATAAAATGTAACCAATAATACACATTATGACTTACTCCCTATTGTGTAATAAAAATAATAGTTCAAGTATCATTGATTGGTAGAGAAAGACAGAATAATTTATAAATGCAACCAATAATACACATTATGACTTACTGGCTATTGTGTAATAAAAATAACAGTTCAAGTATCATTGATTTGTAGAGAAAGACAGAATAATTTATAAATGCAACCAATAATAATACACAATATGACTTACTCTCTGTTGTGTCATAGTTTAAATATCATTAATTGGATCATAAAGAAACACAAATTAAAGGTATAAGAACCATTATACTCTATTAAAACAATAATACATGACTTACTCTCTGTAGTGTGACAAAAACACCAGTTCCGTTGGTATTGAGAAAAAGAGATTAAACAATAAATATGCATAGTAATTAAGACTTACAAACTATTGTGTTTTAAAAAGTTCAAAATTAATCAATTTAGCAAAAAATAGAAAAAGATATATTTTTAAAATCCAATAATTCACATTATGGCTTACAATCTATGGTATGATAAAAAGAAGAAGATAAGATAAAAAATAAGTATAATAATTATAATGACTCACTATCTATTGTGTAGTAAATCATATTGTTGATTACATCAGAGAGAAAAATAAATAAAAATATAAAAGTTAACATTATTTTCATTTTGACATATTGACTCACTTTCTATTTTGCAGCAAGTGTAATAATTGTTAGTTGGTTCCAAATAAAAGATAACTAAAGCACATTTTTGACATTTTCACTTACTGCCTATTATGATGTAAATTAAATCATTGAGAAAAACAGTTAAATAAAAACAAAATAATAAACACATTTAACTTACAATCTGACAGTTGAAGCAGAGAGAAAAAAATAAAGGTAAGTGTATATAATATCCATAAATTTGGACTTACAAACTAGGGATAATGGTTGTTGATCAAATCAAAAAGAAAGATAAATATTTTGCATGATACACAATAAATGACTTACTCTCTAAAAATACACATAACCAAGAAAAAAATACAAATAATTGTATAAACAAAAATCATGACATTTTGACTTACTCGCTATTTCAAAAAATTGATGAAGAAAGAGTTAAAATTTAAACAAGAGAAAAAAATTTAAGAGAAAAGAAAATTTTATAATTTAATGTAAGTAGTGCACATTATAACTTACAAACTTTTGTTGAATTATTGTCAATTTATAGAGCATATGAGAGGAAGCAAGATTTAAAATAAATTTTAGTGAAATAATATTGACTTACAAACTGTTGCATGATATAAATGACAGTTCAAATTATCATAGAAGACAGATTAAAATACATAAATTTAGTCAATAAGTAAAAATGACTTACTCCCTATGATTCAAGACGTTGGATCAGAGAAATTTAAAATGGACATGATGTATTAAAGAATTGGCTCATGTATAACACATGTCTAAAAGTTATGGCTGTACCTCACGTTGCATTCCAGCCATTACCAGAAAAAAACTTCAACTTTTCAGCCAAATGACCTAAAAGAAATGAGAAGGGGCGAGTTTGGTTACTGGCTCAACGCCCACTTTACTATTCTCTTGTCACACGTCACGTTACGTGTCATCACGTGTTAATAATTATCGAATTTGATGGAGGTAACTCGAGAGGTCACTCATGTCACTATTAAAGAGGCAGATAAGGGAGAGCCCATTTCTTTATGTAAGCCTTGTTTTTGTATGTTTGTTTTTTATTGATAGTGCATGTATTATTTTCTATCCTTCTGTCTTTATAGTATCATTCTCTAATGGTCGACTTGATTCCTGTTCAGATGTCAAAGCAAAGCATTCCCTTTACCAAGAGAAAGGTATGAAGAGGAGGACACTGGTTACAAAGACGGACCACATGACATACATTGGTACCAATTACGAGACTGAGGGAACCATGAACACCTTCCCTTTTAGAAAGTGAGAGATGATATCATTTATAATCTTGCCACACCCCTTTCAGCAAATGATATGACAAGACTATTTAATTAAAGACCTTTCCACACTGGCAAAAGTAATGCACATTGATTTGTATTAATTGTATTCACACTACATGTAGGGTGGTTTCTAATTAATGCACACCACTCTCATTTCACCTCCAGTGGTGGATTGTATCAACAAAGTGCATCAAAAAGCTTCAAAACTGTGTTAGTGTGAAAAGACCTTTAGTGTTTCTATGTGTAATTAGTAGCCGCGCTTAGATTTTACCAGCTTTTAATTAACTATATTAATAATCTTTTTAAATTAAGACTCTGTGAGTTACAAACTGATATAATTTAGTATTTAATGCTTACATGTAGGTATATGGTTGGTGTTCTTGATAAAGAGACTGGTACTATGGAGTTACATAATACTGATATATTTCATATGACACCTTATATCAAAGGTATGGTAGACTCTGTAGCCAGCCATCAGTAGAATACATATATCTATTAATGTTTGTATATTCTATACAGGCCCATGTTTTTTTCCAAAAAATGGCTCTGAAATCACCCCCAATTTTTATTATGTTTTCTGATACATATTGAGTCCTTATGCTACATAACAAGTTTGAGCTGATTCAGACTTCAACTTTTTGAGTTACTGCCGTTTAAAAAATATGAGCCAATTTCTGAAAAATGCCCAAGGCTATAGCCCATGGTTTTTTCCAAAAAATGGCTCTGAAATTACCCCTAATTTTTATTATGTTTTTTTGATACATATTGATGTCCTTTTGCTACATAGCAAGTTTGAGCTGATTCTGACTTCAACTTTTCAAGTTACTGCCATTTTAAAAAAATGAGCCAATTTCTGAAAAATGCCCAAGGCTATAGCCCATGGTTTTTTCCAAAAAATGGCTCTGAAATTACCCCTAATTTTTATTATGTTTTTTTGATACATATTGATGTCCTTTTGCTACATAGCAAGTTTGAGCTGATTCTGACTTCAACTTTTCAAGTTACTGCCATTTTAAAAAAATGAGCCAATTTCTGAAAAATGCCCAAGGCTATATTTTTTCAAAAAATGGCTTTAAAATGACCCCCAATTTTTATTACATCTTTTGATACATATTGATGTCCTTATGCTATGTAGAAGTTCAAGGCCATGCCAAGTAACAAATTATTTTGAGTGATGGCCTCCTGCCCATGAATTTGTACATGTACATGGATAACAGGCAAGCAATGGTATTGATACATGACTCTTTATGTGCTTGATCTCTACAGGTAAAACTGATACTCCAGTGACTGATCCTAATCCCTCCAAGCGTAAGGCCATATCCAAGGAAGAGTATTCTGAGGGTCTTGAGAAAGTGATGATGTCATTCGGTAGCTCTCGGGCAAAGAAAGCGTGGTCAGCAGCTAAGAGGAACCATATAGACTCACTGAGACTGGAGGAGACACTAGCACCTGCTGTGAGTCATATTGAGACTGAAATGGATAAGACTATGAACGAACTAGGTATGGTAGGAATTAAGTTGTACCTACTATTATAGGAGGATTGTATTAATTTATTGTTAACAAGAACTATTTGGAAAATTAAATTTAGTTGAACTTCATGTCTGAATCATTATTTGCAAACATCTACATGTACCGTATAGCGGTTTTTTTTCGAGGATAATAAATTTTGCAAATGACCTGTATCTGGAAATTTGCGGAATTAATTTTCGCGAATTTCCACTAATCTGCCATCTTGTACCGTATTAAATTGATTTTCAAGGAATTTAATTTCGCGAATCATAAAAAAATCTGCGAAATTCGCGAAATTTATTATCCTCAAAAATTTCCCACTATACATGTGTACGGTACTATGGTCCATATCACAAAATTAATGTCCCCGTCATTATAGCCAGAGCACATAATGTGTAAACGGTAGATATTATTTTTAGTGAATTATTAACTTATCAAGAAGACCAATGTGTACATGTACATCAGTACAGTATGTACCTTAAGGTTACTTTTAAATACGGGTACTATTAATTGCGAATTTTGCATTTGGGTTAAAATTGCAATTATTAATACGCGCAATTATTAATAATGACATCATGATGCCATATAACTATTAGTAATAATTACTTAATCGCAATTTTTAATACCAGCAAAATCTCCTCATGCTAAAATCGCAAAATTTAGTACCTGCAATTAAAAGTCACTCTAAAGTAGCTCCTTTAATTACTCCATTACTATTTATTTCATTTCTGTGTATTATTGTATTCAATGTTAGATGATGTTCCTGAGCAGACAGTACAGACTAATCCTTACCTGCCAGTGTGTAATACTGATGCTGCAACTCCTGATGAAGTATATCTACTTAATGACTGTGAGTTAGTGCTTTTGATCAATGCATTACAGTATTGTATAGTGGGTTTGTTTTGAGGATAACAAATTTCGCAGATTTTTGAAGATTTGCAAAATTAAATTCCTTGAAAATCAATTTAATATGGTACAAGATGGCAGAAAAGTGGCAATTCGCCAAAATTAATTCGGTGAACTTCCGGATACAGGCCATTCGCGAAAATTATTATCCTCAAAATAAACTCGCTATAAGGTATTTTGTGCTTTTATGTTATTATTATTGCATGTTTGTTGTTTTATTTTTGTTCCTTTTTATTTGTGGGGGTTGGACCCACTTAGAAAAATTACATTAAAACTTGTTGTATTATAAAAGAAAACAATTTTTTGTTATAATAATAATAAACAGAGCTCAGTTAGTTCACCCACTCATCTCTCTCCCTCACTCTATACCTAATTCACTTCTACCTATCACTTAACATTATTTTCTCTCTATCTCTCTCTCACTCACTCTCTCCTTCTCTCTATTAGTGATTAGTACAGAAGAGATGAAGCTATTGAAATCAACTGCTACATCACTGATTGAAGGGAAGACAACACTTTCTGGCACTTTAGTTAAAGAAGAGGAAAGGTATGCATGAAACAGAACATTGTACGCAATTAGCTTTTATGCATTTATGTACCACGAACCACTGTTGTACATGTAATTATAGATTGTAGTATTATCATTATTTCTTTACATCACAAATTTTTTCTTTACAACTTAGGTCTCAGTTTCTTCTCACTAATTTTTCTATGGCCAGTTCTAGTACTGTCAGACCTGTTGAGCTGGTGTCCATGCTATTCTATTGTGACTATCTCATTACTCTGTATAAATCTTCACCTAAGACTGTCCAGCGATTTGGTAAGCATCAGACATGTGTCATTAACATAATACCATTACTGATGGGTAAGTAAGAGTAGAACTACAAATCTACAATACAGTACATGGCATTTGGAACAACTTTAGAACTTAACTAACCCAATCTAATGGTATAGGCACCCACAATTCTACATCCAAGCATAATTGTACATTATTTTGTTTATTTCTAAAGCCATTAAATTAAATGGATCCAATTTGTTTGCTTAGCCAATTTTTGTTTTATCAGGTCCCCCACTGTTTATTGGTGTGGGCTCATGTGTGTATTAATATATATACATGTAATTGAATGCTTAATGGATGTTATTTCCCTATTCCATCATGCATGACTCTGCCTTAGTACTAATAGTGCATATACTAAGTGTATTTTAATAAACATCAGGAGAGTGGCCATTAAGACAAAAGCACAGTACTGTTGAGGACTGCCAGTAAACTAAAGGATCAATGGATAGGTTCATCAATGACGTGTATTATCGATCACCTCCTGATCAACCACGTGGACCACATCAAGACGCTAATGGATATGAACTGGTAGATCTCAGCATAAAGACAAATGTACAATCAATAAAAACAAAGCCAAAGGATAAGCGTGCAAAAAGAGATGCACGTGCTTCAAAGAAGCCAGCATGGAGCAAGCCAGTCATTGTCCTCACTATACTATTGAGTTTAATGCTAGCACTACTGGTCATTATGCTTTGCATGATAATAGCTGTGATAGCAGTGATACCTGCCAAAGATGATTTATCTGCTCCTGATTTGTCTTGTAATTGCACTGAATTGATTGATGACCTTATTTATCAAGAGAGCTTTCCTAATTTTACACAATGGGCTGATGATGTGGTGCATAGTGTTAGAGAGAGCTTCCCTAACTTTACACTATGGTCTGATCACGTGGTGTATAATGTTAAAGATAGCCTTATGCAACAGACTAATGATGTAGTGCATAGAGTGAATACTAATGTTACCTTGAGTATTCCTAAATTTACTGAGATTGATTCACAGATCCTGCAAACTGCCCGTACATCAGCCCAAGATCTTGCTAGCATTACCAGCACACTTGTTACTGTTACCAGTACTCTTACTACTGTTACCGATACTCTTGCTAGTCTACAAGATACCAGTACCTCTACTGCTGGAGTGGTTGATGATATATTGGCAAGAACAAGAGAAACATTGACAGTACTAGCTAATCTATTTCCCGTATCTTGCAAGCAAATTTTGACCCAGTTCCCTAGCAGTCCATCAGATTATTATACTTTAGCTTCAAATAATGGATCGACTTATTCTGCATATTGTAATATGGAGGAGCTGTGTGGTTCAGGAGAAGGATGGACAAGACTAGCCTATCTGGATATGAGTGACTCTACAGTGAACTGTCCTTCTGGGTTTAGACTGTACTATTCAGGAGGAGTTAGAGCTTGTGGTAGACCAACAACAAATGGTGGTAGCTGTGCTTCAGTTCAGTTTTCATCTAATGGTATTAGGTATTCTCAGATATGTGGTAGAGTTACTGGATATAAGTATAATTCACCCGATGCTGTGATATATGGTTATAGTAATATTAACAGTACTTATGTTGATGGTGTTAGTATCACTCGTGGATCTTTACGTAATCATGTCTGGACACTAATTGCTTCATGGCAAGAAAACTACTGTCCTTGTTCAACTTCTAGTAGCTATTCAGTGCCATCTTTTGTTGGGAGTCACTATTTCTGTGAATTCGCGAGTAGTTCTGGTTACTCAAATCAGATTGACATATCATATCCACTCTGGGATGGCCAAGGTTGTAGTTATAATGACAGAGCTTGTTGTTCAGCTCCTGGTATCCCATGGTTTCACAGAGACTATGGTAACACTACCAGCACTGATTATATTGAGCTGAGGGTGTGTGGTGATCAAGGAACTAGTAATGAAGATGTTCCTGTTGGATACTATGAGATTTATGTTAAGTGAACAGTGTGCTTGCAATAATAAATTTGTCACTTTAATGTCAGATTCTTTAAAGTTCATTTTAGCTTTTATTGTGCTATAGAAGTTGCTACATTTTTTGTATTGCTAAACTATAATTAGTTGTTTTTACTAATTGTAATAGAAATGCATGAGAGTATTTCCAATGGTGGTAAATTAATACCACATAACTTGGATAAGCATGTAGTCAAATAAATAATCATGTTTGAATTCCCCCACTAGAAACCAGTACAGGGATTTAGTCAAAATGGTAAAGAGAAAATTATTTATTTTACAACATGCTTTCATCCTTATTAATTATACATGCTTGTGTACACAAGTGTTTTGTCTCTTAATGCTGTACATATAAAGCCATTATTGAAGTTGTTTGCTTGGCCATTTTTTTGTTTTATCAGCTCCCCCACTGTTTGTTTTGTGTGGGTTGCAGTCTAGTTTTCACATAGTCATACATTGTATGTATTGTGATTCTTCATGGACGTGCCTCATTCATTACCATGTCATTCACATGCATTATACATTATAATATAAAGGTAACTTTTTAAAAGCATTAGCAAACAACAACAGAAAGTTAAAAACACATCGTGTTTTGTTAAGGACTACTAGTAGACTAAAGGATCAATGGATAAGTTTATCAATGAAGTGTATTATCGATCACCTCCTGGTCAACCACGTGGACCAACTCAAGATATCCATGGATATGAACTGGTGGATCTCGACTTAAAGAGAAATGTACAACCATTAAAGGCAGCAGAAACAACAACAAAGGATGAGTGGACACCACAGGTTAAGTATACAGGAAAGGATAAGCGTACTTTCAAGAAACCAGAATGGCCAGTCGTTGTCCTGATTGTACTTTTAAGTTTAATGCTAGCACTACTGGTTATTATGCTTTGCTTGATAATAGCTGTGATAGCTGTGATACCAGCCAAAGATGACTCACCTGGTCCTGATTTGTCTTGTAACTGCACTGAATTGATAGATAGCCTTATCTATCAAGAGAGCTTCCCTAATTTCACAAAATGGGCCAATGATGTGTCACACAAAGTAAATACAGATGTTAGAGAGAGCTTACCTAATTTTACGCAGTGGTCTAATGATGTGGTGCATAATATCAGAGAGACCTTTCCTAATTTTACACACTGGGCTCATGATGTGGTACACAAAGTTAACACTAATGTTACCAAGACCTTTCCACAATGGGCTGACAATGTGGTGCATAATGTTAGAGAGAGCTTCCCTAACTTTACGCAACAGACTAATGATGTAGTGCATAGAGTGAATACCAATGTTACCTTGAGTATTCCTAAATTTACTGAGATTGATTCACAGATCCTGCAAACTGCCCGTACATCAGCCCAAGATCTTGCTAGCATTACCAGCACACTTGTTACTGTTACCAGTACTCTTACTACTGTTACCGATACTCTTGCTAGTCTACAAGATACCAGTACCTCTACTGCTGGAGTGGTTGATGATATACTGGCAACAACAAGAGAAACGTTGACATTACTAGCTAATTTGTTTCCCATATCTTGCAAGCAAATCTTTACCCAGTTCCCTAGCAGTCCATCAGATTATTATACTTTAGCTTCAAATAATGGATCGACTTATTCTGCATACTGTAATATGGAGGAGCTGTGTGGTTCAGGAGAAGGATGGACAAGACTAGCCTATCTGGATATGAGTGACTCTACAGTGAACTGTCCTTCTGGGTTTAGACTGTACCATTCAGGAGGAGTTAGAGCTTGTGGTAGACCAGCAACAAATGGTGGTAGCTGTGCTTCAGTTCAGTTTCCATCTAATGGTATTAGGTATTCTCAGATATGTGGTAGAGTTACTGGATATAAGTATAATTCACCTGATGCTGTGATTAATAGTAATATTAATGGTGCTTATGTTGATGGTGTTAGTATCACTCGTGGATCTTTACGTAATCATGTCTGGACGCTAATTGCTTCACGGCAAAACAACCTCTGTCCTTGTTCAATTTATAATAGCCATTCAGTGCCGTACTTTGTTGGAAGTCACTATTTCTGTGAATCAAGTAATTCTGGTAACTCAAATCAGATTGAAATATCAAATCCATTTTGGGATGGCCAAGGTTGTAATTATTATGTCAGTCCTTGTTGCAATGTTCCTGGTATCCCATGGTTTCACAGAGACTATGGTAACACTACCAGTACTGATTATATTGAGCTGAGGGTGTGTGGAGATGAGGGAACTAGTAATGAAGATGTTCCTGTTGGATACTATGAGATATATGTTAAGTGAACAGTGTGCTTGCAATAATAAATTTGTCACTTTGTTGTCAGTGTTTCTAACTTAATTTTAGCTTTTTATTGTGCTATAGAATTCTTTTGTATTGCTAAACTATTATTAGTTGTTTTTATTGTAAAATAAACATAATTGATCTCTTGTAATAGCAAATGCAAGTGCACATTCAGCCTAATTATTGTTTTGACCTTGATAAAAGGTGATTTACAAAATGTATGTGTGTTGCTTGGTTCATTCAGTACTAAAAAAATTTATTGTGGTGTATGCATTAAACCAAACTAATGCAATATGAAGAGGTTAACAGATATTTCTACTGTTCCACACATTGCTCATTCCTTTACTTGCTTTTGATCCTCTTAGGTCTACAGAAGTGTTCCAGTATACCTCATTTCATGCACTCATCTTTACTGGATAAGTTCACTGAAGGAGGAGGAGGAGGGAGGGCAGGAGCTAAAGGGGCTCAAGGCTCCTTCAGTAGTAAAATGAAAGATAAAGTGATGTCATATCTATTTGCTATTGCTCTAAGATTCTCTGGGTATACTCTCAATTCATCAGTGCTTCAGAAAGACCTTCAGATATCATCAAACAAGTCAGTTATGGTAATTTATTGTATCAATTTGTGTGAAGGAGGATTTTAAAACTTTTATTGTGTTGAATGCATTCTTAACTATTACCATATACCATGAAATTTATACGACAAATTTCTTTTGCGACTCCTGCATTTCTAAGATTTTATAAAATAAATTTTCACGAACAGCTTGCAAACTGCTCCACGTGGCAATGGAGCTGCAGAATTTTGCAATTTTAATTTTTGCCACGGAAAAAAAATTGCAAAATTTGCAAAAAAATTTTGTTGCATAAATTTCATGGTATGCGGTATATGCGCTTGTAAAAATATTGAATTGATTTTAGTCATTATTATTATTTTTTTCTCTTAATTTCCTCTCACAGAGTGATGAGCATGTTCCGTGTATTAGGTTGCAGTGTGTCATTAGATAAATCTGTCAGTTCAGGACTCAAGCAGTACAATATTACACTGAAGGTCCCTCCTGTATTCCCTACTAGCAATCGCAAGAAGAGAAAGCTATAACTGTTGGCCATGCACTTTTAATTGTGTAAAAATTTAATTTATTACTATTACTGATTGAATGATAACGATTTTAAAATCAGATAAACCATAACTTAAACTTAAAGTTCAGCCCTAGTTTGGTTATCCTCTGCTTATGATCAAGAAGTATTGAATACAGATCTAGTTTAGTGCATAAATACTAGAAATGGTCCGTTTCTAGTATCTATGGGGACAAAATAGTTATACTGTATGAGGATGTGGTCACAATGAACAAATTAAGAGGATACCTTGCATTTAAAATAAGTTCAAAATAAAGGACAATTTTACAGTGCATGTAATGCCTCTCTGTGTATTATAATAATGGGTGTATAACCATGTACATGGATATACATGTAGTAGTTCTTAAGTCTATAATGATCCAGCTAGCATGTTTGGTGGTTGAGCTGGTGGTAGGATGTGACCTCCTTTAAGTGATAATACTCTTATTTCTTCTCTCAGTGCCTCTATCTCACGACTCTGAATGCTAACAATATCAACAAGCTTTGCTTTCTCTTCTGGCTCAAACAGACTCCCTCCAGAGATATCATCACCCTATAAAAATTATATTCATGTAATAGCAGAATTTGAATTGTCAGTATGTACATGTACATGTATATGTACAATACTGTACATGTACATAACACAATTTCAAGTTATTTTTTATACCATAGCTTTATATCTGATGTGCTTTATATCTGATTTAATTTTCTGTATTATATAGGCGGTAGCCTATATGTAGGATTGAGGTTGATTTTTCAAGATGGCGTCCGTTTTTATGATTTTCAAACACTTATATCTCTTTTATCTTACGTTGTACAGCCTTATAAATGGCTTAGATGAGCTCTCCTTCACTGAGCGATTCTCCTGGTACCTTTAAAGTGAACTGTAATGTAGCGGGAGCATTTCTGCAAAACAGGCCCAAATTTAAATTTCTACAAAATTCTTCAGACTTTTTCTTCTTCTTCTTCTTTCATCTTTCTTCTATACACCGGATAATCTCTTAAACTAGAGAACAGCTCAAGTTGCCTTTTACATCACTCCTCTGGGCTTGGGTCAAGGACCACAAAGGTAGTTTCAAAAAGAAGCGAGGACAGAGAACAAAATGGAAGACAAAATCCAGCTGTAGCCACCGCGTGGGTTTGTGGTTTGACGCCATTTTAATTTATGCGCACGTGATTAGCATGAATATAATTAACCTAACCACAGAATCATAACAGAATGTAATTTCTTGATTTAAGAAAAAAGAATGGAAACAAGTAAATAAAAAACATTAAAAATGGGAAAATAGTAGGATTGAATGGGAAAAAAGTAAGGAAACAAGAAGGTACTGCAAAC